ATGTAAAAATGAGGCACTCCTCGTGGGGCGTTAACGTTCTATGAGGTTATGCTTCTAAGTATTTAACGTGAGTTAGAAAGGGCCAGCCTTGCCCTGGCTGGTGTGGCTTAGTGGTCAGGTGTCGACATGTGAATGAGGAGGTCAGGGTTCAGTTCCTGGTCAGGGCACATGCCCGGGTTGTGGGCTCGGTCCTCAGTAGTGGGCGTGCAGGAGGCAGCCCATCAATGGTTCTCTCTCATTATTGATGTTTCTGTCTCCCTCTCCTTCTCCCTTTCTCTCTGAAATAAGTAAAAATATCTTTTAAAATATTATTTAAAAGTTAAATAACTAGTGGTATATTTATCTAGTGACGTACTATGGAGCAATGAACATGAATATACTCACAGAAAGTGTTGAGCAAAAGAAGACAGACACAGCCCTAGCGCATTTGGCTCGGTGGCTAGAGCATCGGACTGCGGACTGAAGGGTCCCAGGTTCGATTCCAGTCAAGGGCACAGGCCGGGGTTGCAGGCTCTGTCCCGGGGGGGCGGGGTGCAGGAGGCAGCCGATCAATAATTCTCTCTTATCATTGATGTTTCTATCCTTCCCTCGCCCTTCCCCTCTGAAATCAATAAAACACAAAAAATAAAAAAGACAAACACAAAAGAGAACATACTGTAGGAGTCCAATTATTTAAATAAAAAAATAGGCAAAAGTTAATCTGGGGATAGAGACCAGGGCAGGGCATAAGGAAGACTTTGGGGTGCTGGTAATAATTTATTATTTAACCTGTGTGATAATTATATGGGTGTGTTCATTTTGTGACAGTTTGCAACAGTCTTCATTTATGATTTGTTCACTTTTCTGCATGTTCTGCTATTTTTTTTAAAAAATCTATGCCAGTCTTGATAGTTCAATAAGTATCTGAATTTGAAGAGATTTTTGTGGGTTTTGCATTCTGTTCAGATGAGAGAAATTTTCTGAGCCTTTGGGTATTTTGAATCTATGCTACTGCTGAACTTTGAAATTCAAATGCTTTCTAAACATGAAACTTTCCTTTTGGGATAGATGTTGACCATTTTTATTTAACCACACTTCCTTTCTGCCTTCCCGATGGGCCTCACCGTTTGGACACAGGTTCCCCCCAGGAGGGTCTTATCACAGCACTGACTTCAAGGTCTGACATTCGCTCAGAAAACCCTAATTCTGAAAGGTGTTTCCATCAGTTGAAACAAGACCAGGACAGTGGGCACGCCTTGGGATAGTGCGGGTTCTGTTGCAGACCACCCCAGTGAAGTGAGTGTTAAATACAGGGAGTCATGATCTTCTTGTTGGTGGAGGATCTTGCCTTTGTTTGTTTAAAAAAAAACACACAAAAAAATGCAACCTTTGTGAGACACAATAAAATGAGGTATATGGGGTATGCCTGTATTCCTACCAGAACTCTAGCAATGATGTAGCGCTGATTAATATTAAAGCAATATGCCCTAGAGC